TTTTATGGGGTGCCTTAATTTGACTGTCTAAGGCCTCAATCAATCCTATACAAACTTCTTCCTTTAATAAATAGATCCAAGGTCACAATTACACTAGTGAGAAGATAGGAAGAAACCATAATTTTTGGTGCCCGGGCCCGCACCACAACTTGACCTCTCACTCAACCTATTATCCATCATTTAGTGGTTGACACAAAAATTTCTTTATGAGCTAAGCTAAAAACGCTTATTTATAAAAATGAAAAAATTATATACAGGGTGTCAACTTTATATTATAGAAGTGTGCACCTACAAAATCTATACAAAAAAAAGTCTTATAATTTTGGAACTTGTAATATTGCAACTTGTCAAGTATTAAAAATATTGTAACTTGTAATATACTATATATAGATCATTTCATTTTCAAAATTTTTAAATTTTATAGATTTATTCGATCTACATCATTTTTAGAGCTTTAATTTCACAATTAAGGTTAAAAACATATTTTCAGAAATTTGTGAGGGTTTCTTGTACTATAACTGCATTCCTTACTTAATTTTTTTAATGTGGCCGCCTTGTATAAACCTCACCTAAAAAGGAAAAAGCAACTTTTAGGTTGTGCACTAAAAATTGACCATTACCTACCAAATGCTGCAAAAAAGAAAAAAGAAATAAAAAATGACGAAAAATATCATGACAATGGTTAGATCATCTCAAGAAAAGGTCCCTAAAAAATCATTGATGTATTCAAATCAGGTCAATTTAAAAGTCATTTGACCCAAATACCTCATCAACAATTTTATAAGAAAAACCTTTTGACTTGGATTCCTTGCACCCTGCTACATTCATAGGTGAAATGGTGATTTTAGATTTTTAATTTTAAACCCAAAAATCCAAATAAACTGATTTATTTCAAAATCCGTATTGGCTGGTTCACAATAGTTTTGGTTCAGATTTTGAAAGTTCGAACTCGTTGCATTTTGAAAAATGAAATAGAATAGAGACATCAACCAATGGAAACTCGATTTTTAATTTCAAAAAATAGACATTAACGTAATTTCCCAATAATTTGATATGATTTTCCACATGGTCATAAAAAGGAGTGGGAACATATCATTTTTATGGCAAAAGAAACAATTACCAACAACTTTATCAACAATGGCTTCCTCCACCCTCCTTCCTGTCTCACGCGCATTGACAATCAAAGCTATGGTCATTTGTGTCACCATCATTTTGAATGAAACAAAGGAAAAGGATTATAAAATAAGAAGAAAAAAAAAAAAGGAGGAGAAAAAAACAAAAGAAAAACTGATGCATACTGCATTTCTACATTTGCGGTCCTCGAGGTATAAAGCATCCATCTTAAAGATTAATATAAATAGGTGGTCTATCTAAAAACAATTGAAACTAATGGTCCAAATGTTTTTTTAATAGAATTATTATTTTTAATTTTTAAAATTTATTTATTTATTCATATTCATGATCTCCACGTTAGAGATTACATGTTCTTAAAAATTAAATAAAAAATCCATCTCAAAAATAGATTTTTAAGAGGTGGCTCATGAATGAAAGAAAGACCTATGTAATCTTATGCCCGGGAAATACATTTTTTTTTTTTAATAATAATCACCCCTTATAATTTTGCCAACAAGATCACTCACAGGTGGTCTTATTACAAACGATAGAAATTCTAAAAATAAATAACACATCAATAAAATAAATATCAACTACTTGATGCATTCATACAACCTAATATTGTGCTTGATAATATAAAATAAAAGAACAAATAATTAAAAGAAAAGGTGCCGGAGGTTACCTCAACCGGGTTTTTTACACCCCACACCGAGTCACCACATCCAATTGACGCGGAATCAGCGGTCTAGCTTCAATCTCGAACCAGGAAAAGTAATTTCGGCCAAACTAGGTAACCACCCTTAAATCTCTACAAAACCCTAACTCCAAAATAATTAGGCTCAAACCTTAATTTTCCCAACCCTTAGATTAGATCATGAGATTAGGCTCAAACCCTAATTTTCTCAACCCTTAGATTAGATCATGAGAGAGAGAGTCTCTATGTTGGGCGTACCCCCTAGGGGTCCTTTTTAGGAGAGATCCTTTTTAGGAGAGAGAGAGTAGGAGAGAGAGTAGAGAGAGAAAATACCAGAGTTGGGAGAAAGAGGGGCGTGGCCCCTAGGGAAGATAGAGAGAGAGTTTGTGGGAGAGAGAGGTGTGTTGAGATTTATAGTGAAATTTAGGTCTAAGGTTTTCATAATTTGCCTCTTTATTGAGATTGAATATGGACCGTTGATCAATGTCACTTGTGGGGTGAGAGATCTGAGCCATCCATTTCATAGATGGACCATCAACATTATGGAAGGTGTATGAATCATTGTCCCCTTTTTTTTAAACCATTTTCCCATCAATATATTTAAATAAATTAAATCCATTAAAGATATAGTGCATACCATAAATTACATATTCCATCTCATATTTTTCATAAGAATATTTCAATAATATCAAGTCGAGATATTCCTTCAATAATCAAGATAAGATATGGTCAATATTTCCTTATCAATGCTACAAGATGTAGTTACCATTTTTAACAAACTTGAAGACAAAACAAGATAAGGTATCCAAGGCTAGGGCGTGCCACCCATGTATGGTATGTGGGGCCCCACCTAATACCTACATGGTGGGCTCATGTGCACTATGGGCCCCCATGTATTTTTTTTAAATAGATATTTAAAAAATAAATTTTAAAATATTATAACTTTGTAAATTAATAACTTCATTTATATAAGTCCAAAAATAAGAAATAAAATATCAAATGATTTACAAAAATTCAAATAATAAATCTAAAATAATTTAATAATAAAATCAACTCAATTAAATTAATATGATGGGAAGTGGATCCATATGGTTCAGGAATTCAATCAACAATCACGGGGTACTCCACCTTCAACTATGGACTACATACCATACTTGCTTTATCGAACCGACCTAGTGTTTCCCATGACCCATAGTCCAATCAGGGGTTCATTAACGGGTCACCAAAGTCTGGTCGATGAGCCAAGGAGTTGCAATCCTAGTCTGTGGATTACAGGTCTTCCCTAGAGACAAGTCAAGGTCACCACGATCGGATGCGACCACAGCTCTATGGCGCATAGGAGTATCTCTCGCACATGCATATGCTTCACCCAAAGGTGGATATCAAGCTTTCCCGAATGATCTATCTATATCCATGTCGTGTGATGAAACATGGATGAGGTTTTGGCCCCCGTCTCTGTAGGTCTATCATCACACACAAGGGTCACGCAGTCCCTCGGCTCACTCATCTAGGTATAAGCTCTGACCTCATCAAGGACTAACCCAAAAACCCTTATCGGTTTATTTGTTTATGCCCAGGTACCTTGGATTTTCCAACCAACTGGCCTAAATCATCAAGCACAGTCCGTTATCCGCAACTATCATTTGCTTAGTATGGTTTTTGAGGGACCATACTCCCACTAAATTTATGTTCCACTATAGTCAATATTTTTCATTACACACTCATAAAGCCACATAAATCCAACAATGAACTTATAGAAACCATGCCAAAAAACAAAACAAATGAAAAGGGATAAAATTGTACATAACTTTTTATTGAACATCGTTTGGTTGACCGCCTGGGTTTTATATCAAAAGTCAAAGCTACACCTCAACACTCTTCTAGAGAACACGGTTTGCACTAGAGACCCCTATGGTGGCTCAAAAATATATTCCGTCCTTTATTATAAACCTTGAAGCTCCAAAAATAGCACAAATTTAGTATTTTTCTAAGCATTTGACAATGGACAGTCAGATGAATGATGTGTTACAAGATATATTTGAAATATTTTTATTTTTCATTTTTTTTCATATTCGTAATTGTCGAATTTGCGATGATCAATTTGAGGGTTCTCCAACATTAAAACTAAATTTTGATGGTTTTTCTTTTCATTCTGAAACCTTGCATGAAATCAATCATTGAGGGATGTCATCATATTCTCTTCCAATTCACCAAAATGGCCAAATTTCAAATTTAATCTCTATACCAAAGCCAAACAAATTATATGCTGCTAAAGGAGCATAAAATATTTTCCGATTTTTCCTTTAGATATTTATTATAGCTTATAGAAATGGAAATACCTTACACGTGTACCAATTTTTTGAGGTAATTTAGTGGTAGGAATCAAATTTGAGGTGCAGCACCGAAGCGTGCCGATTTGAGCACCATTGTAAGCATTTCATAATATGCTTTTGCAATTTATTTTTACAACATGGCTTTCCCAATTTGATGAAAAGAACGGTGAAGACTTTTGCAGTCATGCATGTTTATCTGTCGTGACCGGATATGAAATGTGGACTTTATTCGTGTGAATGCAAGAGGAGGGTGACCAGAAGTGATAGGTTTTTTAAATAAATTATTTCCGATATTAAATACAATGTAATATCTATGGATAGAAAATTTAGATGTGCCACTAATAGACGATAACATGAGATAAAGTAGATTTAGGTGGGCTGACATGTGTGGCACAAACCCAATACAGTACCTATTAGGAGTTGCAAGTTAATTCAAGTGGATGGCTAAAACAATACAAAGGGTATCCCCAAAAGAATATGGTTGGAAGTAGTCAGAAAAGTTATGAAAGTTATGGCTTTATTGAGGATATGACCTTTAATAGAGTAAAATGACAGACCAGATCAAAATGGGCAACCGAAATTCGTGTAGTTGACTTGTATTAATTTGAAAACGACTATGATGATACTGATGTAATCTCCATAGACAGCTAATAAAGCTGAGTTAAAGATGAGAATGAATAAATAGATTCTAGATTAAAAAAAGATTATAGACATTACGGGTTAAAGCTAGGCTCCAATGGTTAGTAGTGGACGTTAGCAATGTTATATAGTGAGACAACAATGCCCAAAAGCACATAGAAAGTGTGTATAAGATAACGAGTATAAGCATCTCATAACATTAGAGAGGGAGAGACGGTGTGTATGTGATATCAAACTATAATTCTTGATTTAGCCCCCAATCCAAGCTTTCTCTCTCTTTAATGTGAACAATTTCTCTATCTAAGCCCATGTCCACAAATTTTCCTTTTGGTTTAGGCAAACTCCACACAAATAAAACTAGCAGCGCCTTCCACTTGATCTATGAGCCATGTACACAAGCAATCACAAACCAATAACTCCTAGATAGTTGTTTCTAATGATAATCTCACAATAGAGGAGAGAGAGAGAAAAAACAAGCATCTTTACATCTTCTCCTCCTTCCACAACACGGGCCAATTCTTTTGGGCCTCCTTCCACCCTAGCAATGAGCCCTCTTCTGAGGGATCCCAACTAGCAGACAGTGTCCCATAAGCTACCCCAAGTGCCGAGGTCCCAAAGCCCAACAAGACTGTAAGCAATGGCAACCACATTGGAGCATCCCAAACGCCCCCATTCTTTAACGTGTCGAATGCCCACAGCAGGCCCAGGCCCAAGCCCATCGGTGCCCCCACATAGAACACGATGCGCCTTAGCATCCTGTCTAACACCACTTGTGGGATCTCATCGTCATCTCCCTCTTGCTTTGAGCTCCTTGTTTCTCTGTCTTCTCTTTCTCTGTCCGAGAGCCCTCCGAAACCCCGGCCCCCGACGCGTAACGTTAAGCGCCGGTGAGAATGTTTGTGAGAACCTGTGTGTGGGAGCCTCGGGATTCTTGTGCACGTACTGGTGTAGATGATGAGGCTGTGTTGAAGGGAAGGAGAGAGAAGGGCCTGGGGGTTGTTCATATTATGGAGGAGCGAGAAAGAAAATGTTATGGAGGAGAGAGAAAAACAGTATATATACAATCTTATGGTTCTTATCCAAACGACGGCCACAAATTTGAGAAGTACTTTATAAAGGGGATTTAAAATCTCATTAGCTAGTTTATATAGGCTTATATATACCACAATTATGAGGATATTTTTTTAAGGTCGCACTCTTTAAATTTGGGATTTTCGTGCTTTCTACCTAATTTGGGGTAGCCATTTTCTCACATTTAAAATCGCAAGTAAGTGTCGAAACTGATTGGAAAATCGATTCAAATCGACACGAATCGATTTCGATTAGAAATGATTCAAAAAAAAAATCAAAAGAAATGCAATTAAGAAAATAATCTATTTCCTGCCAATTTTGAATATGTTGAATGAAACAGTATTTGAAACATTGTTCTTTTTTACTTTTTATAATTTTGATGGATTTAAACAAAGGTGCGGTTTGTATAGAGTCTAGGCTCTAAACAATCAAATTAGAGCCTACCTTCAAATAGTATCGAGAAATGTGGTTTTAATATGGGAAATCTTTGTGATCGCCTTAAAATATATTTTTATATTTATTTATGAAGTTTTAAAGCTTACAAAATAGTGTAGATCGACAGATCTATGTCAACTTGAAAATTGACAGTCCAAAAATGCATTATAAAATGCACTATTTCCAAAACTTGAAATCCATTTTTTTCTTCTGTCCATGCATCTTGATGTCGAGATGATCAATTTGAAGATATTTGGACATCAAAACAACCTGTTTTAGTGAATTTTTTAAGGTAGGCTCAAATTTGATTGTTTAAAGCCTCGGCTTTATGTAAACTTTTCCCTTAAAAAAATTGGTCGTTTTTTTGAAGGGTGCGATAATAGTGCGCTGAAGCTCTAAACCCGATTGATTGATTTTTGGTAAATAAAGAACGAGAAATAAATCATGAAACACATACCATAAGAACACAAATATTTATATAGTTAACCCCATAAGGCATACAAACACGGGCATGGCAAACTGAAATCCACTATACCAATGAAAGTTACATAAAAAAATATAAAGATTTACATGGTTCACCCCAGAAGGACTACATACACGGGCACGACAAACTAAAATCCACTACACCAATGAAAGTTACATCAAATATTTTGGACATAGAGTTACCTCTCTAACGCTCGACAAAACCTAGTCAAGTCACTCTCCCGATTCACACAATATGTCGTTCATCATTCTATTTACTTCTGGCAACCATTACCGACAACACCAGATAGAGACGCGATTTCTGACAACCATTATCGAGACCACTATATAGAGACGTGACTTCTGACAACTATTACCGACAACACCATATAGAGACGCGAGAGCAACGAGAAACTAACTTTCTCTATAACAAAATGGGGAAACCAACCAAAACCTCCATAAAAACCGCTTCTCTACAAGAAACTAGGGGAAACTTCCAAAAATCTCAATGGAAATTATTTGTCTACCAGAAACGAGCCTCTCAAATCTATAAAGGCACCATCAATCTACAAAAACACCATCAAAATATTTCTCTCCTTAGGAAGCTCTCTTCTCTCTAAAAGGAGGCCTTGTCACTCTCTTTTCTCTTTCATCCCATACATATAATGCTAGGAATCAGCACTCAAGAGAAAATTTATTATAGATGTTACATATATCTTTGTTTACGATGAAAGTCTGACAGATCTTTCGATGAAGATAACTTGAATTTTAACACCTTAAACTAATTTAAAAGATGTAAATAAAGTGGCAGAGAAAGTGGGATAGATCGAATTCAGATTTGAGGCCAGATTTGCCCGAAAACGAGCAGATGCACTCTCAGATATGTGGCAAAGCCAACATGATCTAGAACATTAAAATACAATTTTTAATATAAGTTAACAAATCAAAAATAAATAAAAGAAACAAAACAGTAAAAAGAATAACAAAGAGAGATGAAGAAATAATATCAAATTGTGCCGGATGGCTCGGGATTCCTGAGCCTTCGAGGGCTTGCTCGTATCAGAACCGGGCATCTTTGCCTCTCTTATTCGAATGTTGACCAGCAGATCTTTGGTATAAAGGGTTAGATTTAGGGTTGTTGTACCCTAATTCTAGTTTTGATCTAGGGTTTATGTACTCTAAGTCTAGGTTTTCTCAGTCTTGGGGGTTAGGACTTCAAGACGCTAGGGTTTCTATCTTCTTCAGGGTTTTCAATATAGAGATTTTTCTGAAACTGTTGGTCTTTCTGGGGGTTTGGCAGATAATTTCCTTAGTTTTCCAAGGGTTTTGTAATCTTCAGACGTTGAATATGAATTCTAAGATTTTCTCTAATTTTTTAGGATGTTTGGGGATTTTTCCTAAATTTTTAGGAAGTTTCTAAGGGTTTTTCCTATTTTTTGTATTTTTTGGTAATTTTTCTAATTTTGAGAAGTTGTAAGTTTTTTTTTGTCTCTATTTTTAGGTTAGGGAGAGGGGATATTTGTAAGATTAAATTGGTTATTTTTTTAAAATTTTTTTGGATTTCTATTTGAATTTTTTGGATTTATCTTGAAGTTTTAGCCTTATCGAATTAAAGAGAATGTGTTTACTGCATCATCAGATGCATTGACTGCATCATCAACCAGTGTCTGGGCCTGTCGAGCCCTTTATAACCTGGCATGTGGCTCGACAGTTGGGTCTCATAGTGACTAAATTGTCATGTGTTACATTTTTTTTATTCGTAGGGCCGATTCAGATGATTCTTGGACCGTTAGAAAGCTCTTGGGCTCTACTTCAATTTGGGATAGGATTTGGATCGTTTTGAGGTAATTAAATTAGGTCTACTAGGATAATATGGTCCTAAGGTGTGACGACCTAAAACTTTTGGAAAAAAAAATAAAAAAAATAATAATAATATTAATGGTGTTAACATAAATAAATACAAAATAAATAAATAAAATAATAATTATATATTAGTAATGATAATAATAATAATAATAATAGTAATAATAGTAATAATAATAATAATAATAACAATAATAATAATAATAACAATAATAATAATAATAATAATAATAATAATAATAATAATAATAATAATAATAATAATAATAATAGCAATGATAATAAAAATACAAAATACTAATATAATTTTTGGATGATAGTTCATTATATTATGAATAAACCATAGGAACTCCCTAAATTTTCCCTTTTCACAAGTTAATAAGATGGCATTATGAGAGGATGATAGGTCGGTAACTTTTGAGTGTCTAGATAGTTGTACTTGTTCCCTTCGTATCAGCTATGACTTTCCAATATTCAATAGCTGATAACTTCATTCTTTCTTGAGGATGCCAAATGACAGGAGTATTAGCTTTTCTTAAAGTGTTTCCAAACAATAACTTACATTTCCAATTGGGAGTTTTTTATACAGCATGGCCCTAGGGGATCACCCTTTCTTTTTTATTCTTTTTATTTGACGCGTTATTTGGGCCTTCTCTTTTATTATTGCCCTATGATGTGGCAGGTTAACATTCACTTGTGTTGGTTCCTTGACACTTCCATTATGACATGTATGTTAAATATGTATGCCATCTTCCTAATTCATGAGTCAAGGACGTATGTACCATGAGGTGTTACCTTATCAATCGTTTTGTTTTAACCCCACTATTCCCTTTTAAAATGCTTTAGAGGAAAAAAAAAAAAAAGTGTACTGATGACGTCCCAAACAGCCTGCTGCATAGCTGTTTTTCTCTCTCGTTTTTTTTAGCATATAGTCTCTCTCTCTCTTGATGTTTACCCTCTTTTAATTCCTCATCTTTTGCTGGAGGACTCATGCTTCCATGATTAGCCCCTTACATCTCACAAAAATTTCATGGTCATGGGGTCTTTCAGAGGTTTTTTCGGTTTCCCTCTTACAAACATAGTGAGCTCCTCTCTCTAGTCGAATTTTTATCGGAAGCTCCTTTTCAAATATTTTAGGTAAGTGACATCATTTTTCTGAAAAATAGTCTGTTTTTAATAAATAGTGATATTTCCATCCAGGATCTTTATTTTATAAGCTTTGTGTGTGAGTGACCTCATTGTCTCGAAAAATAATCCATTCTTTTTAAAAAATAAAATGAAATAATTATTTCTACTTATTATCATGAATTTTAGGCGCAATAAATTTTATGCGCACGCGACCTCATTATCTTGAAAAATAATATTTTTAATAAAAATTATGATATTTTATCTATGTTAGAAATTTTAAATGCTATAAATTCTTAGAAATAAATTTATTTATTTTTCTTGTTGATTGTTAGAAAATTTTAAATACTGTAAAATTATTAGAAATAAATGTGATAATTCCGCTTTTACTAAAATTGTGAGATTTCTTTCTACTGCCTTTTTT